ACAAAAGCCAGAGAGACCAAAGAGAAAACTTAGTGAAAAACAACTTGCTGCATTAGCTGCTGGAAGACAAAAGAACCCACGTTTGCTGGCGAAAAAAGCTAGAGAAGAAGCTGAAGCAAAAGCTAAAGAAGCTGAAGCAAGAAAGAGTAAATGGTTTATTTTTATCCGAATTAAATGTATAGACAAATACCTTTATCTGTTGCGTTCAGTAGTGAAAACCCTGACGTCAAAATAAATGGGAACAGAGTAACGTTTAAGTTTCCAACAGACTGGATTGTGAACATAAATGAAGAGAAGTACATTGGCATAACATCTATGTATATAACACGTGCTTTCAGAAAGGTTGACTTTATACTTCAAGTCGAGATAGAAAATGACGAACAGTCTTTAAGCGCCCAAAACATTCACATATACAAATACTTTAAAGACGATACAACATTGCTACAATGTATGATTTCATTTAATGAGATGTTCGAGAAAAAGTTCAACATTGAAGTACAAACTTTACAGCCTTTACGTGAGTTTCTTGCACAACTGAAAGAAGAAGGTAGTCACCCACAACTTATAGACTTTCATTATGAATTTAATGAAAATGAAGATGGAACTCATGACTGTCAGTTTGTTATATATTCACCATTCAATGAAGTAGCTAAAAAGAAAGAAAATCCATTACGTATAAGATTTCAAATCTCTGAACCAAGTGATGATTTCAAGAATGTTTTCAATTATGATGCAATGCTTCCGAGGAAAAATGAATTTTCCGAAATTAAATTTCCAGGTATTTGGGAAAGAAAGCAAGCTATATTATATTCAAACCTAAGTAAGGGAGTTGAAAATGAGTTCATTGGTCATACAAGAACTTCACCACTTCCTAACCCTAAATACTATAAATTAACTGGCTTCAATCGTGAGTTTTGGATAGACATGTTCTCCACTCATGACCATAACTGCCCAGTGTTCTTACCTCCAGACCATAAGGACTGTCTTTACATTGAAGCACAACTCTTAAACTCTACCATCGCAGTATTGTAAATGACCTCATGGGCTTCGCCCTTGCCGCTAGCGGCTTATTTTTGTCAGCAATGAGGTCATTCGTGATAAAAATAAATGACCTCAGAACTTCAACTTACGAATAAAGCTTGTTTTAGTCGTTATTGAGAAGTTAAACTTTTCAGCAAAGCAAGGACTAGAAGACTTACATAAGTCAAATCCAATCTCTTGACCATCATGAAGTGCTTTGTAAAGTTTCATTAAACTGAAACTCCAGAGTCTTTGTCATATGTTCCTTGCGGAACCATTAACCTTATCTTCATCATAGAAACACTGAACAGAGTCAGGAAACATTTCATTAGCGTTAAAGCAATAACATCTTGCTTCACGCCTTTCATTCTGCAGTGAAATGCAACTTCATTTAAATCATTCGTGAGTAAGTCTATGTAGGTCTTCTTTCCACAAAATATTGACTTGTATGCTAAACTTTGTTTTCCAGGTGTTATTTCTGCAAGTCGCTATGAAATTGACCAAGGTTTTTACCAATGAGAACTCTTCCATATACGTTTCTCAAACTCTTCAGCTAAACGAGGGATATCTTCATTGTAGAGATGCATACTGTCCGTATCGCTATAAAAGATGTCCATTCCTAAGTCCAGCAGTACAGAATACTTCACACATTATTCTCTTCGACATAGACAGAATGTTAACACCAAGTGGACAGAAGTTAAAGTGTCTGCAAATGCTTTTCGTTAGCTTGAAAAATAGTTTTTATCTGAACCATCCAAACCTTCGAACTTCACTATATGGTTGTAGTTTCTGATGGCATATCTTATAGCATCTTTGTCATTTACTATGGTTATTTTTGACTCAATAGGAGATAGAATAGTTTTGCCATAAATACTGTTCAGAAATGAGCTTTTATATTTTCTTGCAAAGGATTTCCTTCTTTCTTATACTTTAACCTTAACTCAAACAACTTCTTTACTTCATCTCTTATTCTAATATCTCTGTTTCCATCGTAATAGTTCCTGCAACACTTCACATTTGACACCTTGATATTTTATGAGGTCTTGTAATGTTATATGGTCAACATACATTAAACAGCAAGTGTTTTGAACTTCTGGGAACGTTAAGTTTCTGGATTTAGTTCAGGGTCACAAAACTATTAAAGGAAAGTGTCTATGTATTCCAATCTCTGTTATCTTAATGAGAACAAAGAAACCGAATATAAACTTTTCACCATGGGTTCCTTTTGGTCGTCATCGAATAAATGTCTCATGAGATACTCTGTGCTTAACATTTCTTCCTTCAATACTTTCGGTATACCTTCTAAAGTATAAAGTCTTGCTATAGCGGATGGATATAATGAAACAGCGTCGAAATCAGCAATGAGTTTCTTTTCGCTCTTTTGTTTAATGTTATCTGACAGCATACATCTTCCACCTTGAATGCATCTCGAAATAAATTCTCTAGGTTTATTTGAGAGGTCATATAAATTTCCATTCGGGAAGTACACTCTGTTCTCAAACAATTTGTTAGCGATTGAACAAATACTAACGTAGTCATAAACGTTTAAATCAAATTCTTTCAATATGTCATTGCGAACTTAACAAACCTTCTCTTAAAATTCTTACATCTGTTTGCCAGTAAAACGTGCTATATTTTTCTAAGTCGAAGTGGTTCTCATCTATTCTGCAACCTTTGATGGAATCTATGTTTTTCATAAATGTATCAATATCTTTACAAACTTACATGCTTCAGAAATGACACCAGTTCTGTTGTCATTTGCTAACAAAACACTGCTGTAGTAGTTGTATGGAAATACTTCTTTCGGTCCTGTTTGTAAGTTAAACATAGCAGGAAATAGTTTAAGCTTCTTATTTATAACACTGTAAGAGTCTTTTATAATAATTGCCCTTCCTTTATATAAGCCAGTTATTTGCATTGTTCGTGAACCTTTAATGATGGGAGTTCCTTTCACTTCTGTCATGTGTCTTAAGATGAAGTTTATATCATAACTGAGGTTATGGAAATATTATTAAACTCCTTGTCAGGAAGTCGTTCCAAAAAATTCTGTTGCACAGTTCTGACCCAAATGCTTTGACTCACTGAACCATCTTTCACTGTCATAACAGATGTTAAAGGCTTTATGAAAGCCATCTGTGCTACACTCAAAGTCAGCAAAGAAAACGTGCTCAGGAATGAACTTGCACTTATATTTTTATTTACTTCTTTTGACTCGGCTTTCTTCTTCAGTTGTCACAATACTTTGGAGCATATGTCAAATCTTTAATGGTGCAAGGTTCTGTTTTATAAAGTCAGTCGTATATGTGAAAAGTTCTCCATAAGAAATAGGTTCGAAATATTTGCACTCCCACAATGTTTTCATAACATCCCATAGGGTGTTGTTCTATCATAACGAACTATATATTTATCTCTCTCTTTGTATAAATCTTCATCTGTTTCTCAATGTTCATTCCACCACACTCCTTCAAGATTTCTATATAGTTGCGAATGAAATATGTTGTCATTGGTAATCTTTCATTTAGCATGTAGTGGTCTTCAACAAGAAGTAAGTCAATAGTTCGAATAGTTTCACATTCTTTTGGTATGTATCTCTTTATTTCATTATGTCTTGAGTCATTGAAGTAACCAATGGTAACATTAAATGCTATACCTGTTGCGTCAGAAATTTCTTGTACTTTACTTTGAGGAAAGTCTCTAACACGAATGACTTCTCTCATGTGGTCAATAGTCTCTCATCTACTCCAGCCTGAATGCAAGCATAAACGAAACAATTGTCTTCTGTCATAAGTGCTGCAGTTCTTTTGTTCAATTCATTGAAGATTTGGTAGCGCTCAAGATTTATAGGTAATGTGCAAAGATACTTCCAGAACTGACCGCTTCTCTTCTTATAAAACTTCTTTTCACCATTTCTTCCAAAGTTTCTATAAGTCTGTTTCTGTTTGTTAAGAGCTTTCCAAAATGGCTTTCTGTCTTTGTCAGTGTGCTTTCATCTCTATATGGTCTCTTTTTTGGTTTGCCTTTCTTTACATCTGACATCGTTAAGCCTTCATATTCTGTTAAGTCATACATCTTTATTTCGGTAAGATTCTTTATGTTTGTCAAGAAGAAGTCATAGTGCATTTCAACAATACCTGCAGCATTTGCTTCTATCTCTGATATAAAGTTCTCCTTCAAGAGCTGATGTAGTAATGTTCCAATATTATTGAGGTTTAACGTAGAACATTCATACTTTCCACCAAGTTTATAACATACCATCCATCTCTGTTGGGAGTTTATTTTAATCTTCCCTAAGAGTCTCATGAAAACCTTACCGAAATGTTTGTGTAAATATTCTCTGTTCGGTTCATCTAAAGCTTCGATGTTAAAGTCAATGAGTCTATTGCCTGACTTCACATTTCTCTTCCTATTCTCTTCATCTTTCTTTAACCATCTCTCACCTTCTTTTGGTTTGTCGTCAATGGAACGAATGACATCGTTAGCTTTGCGAACTTGTTCTATAGCGCTCTTAAACATCTCTCTTCTCTGTTGTTTCAGTGTGGCGTCTCTTCTTCTTGTTTCACCAACGTTTGCATTTGTTATGTCAAACATTTCTCTTCTTACTTCATGAGGTACAGCTCTTCTTGTTTCACCAACGTTTGCATTTGTTATGTCAAACATTTCTCTTCTTACTTCATGAGGTACTGAACGTCTATGATATAAGTCAATAGCAACGTCATTTAAAGGAAATGCTCTTGCATGGACTTCGTCCTCGCCGCGTTGCGGCTTTATGAACTCATGAATTCTATCATAACTTATAGCACCATTGTAGTCATTGAGGATGTCAGAGAGTGCTTTTTTGTTTGTCGCGTAATGTTTTGCTACTTCTATGTTAGCTTCTGTTAGAAGTTGTTTTATTTCCGAGTGTTCTAACTTAGACAACTTCCGATACATCTTTAGTAGGAAATAAAAAAAATATTTTTTGAAAAATAAACTTAGAAAAATTATTTCTTTCTATATTTGCCATTCCGAACTTCGAAAAGATGTTTTATACCAGCATAGAATTTTTCTCTAGAGCTTAGTCTTATATTGTTTTCATAACAATATTTTCTATATTCTTCATATAAAGCCTTTTTTTCATACATTTCATAAGGACAATCTAACCAGAATAGCGCATATCCATTTTCGTTATCTAGGTCTCTATATGTTTCTTCTGTTTGTAGAATTTCGCTTTCTCTATTTAGTTCTATGTCTATATATTGTGGCTTAAAAAGATGTGGGCAAGAAGGGTCTGGCGCTATGTAAAAAGTTAATTTTTCTGTCATCTTTCCTATCGGATAAAAAATATTTTTTGAAAAAATTAGATTAGATTTTTTAAAGTTATTTTTCAAAATAATTTAATATTTTTATTTTAATGAAACACATGCAAGATTGCAAGTTCTTTTCATACAATGCTCTCGCTACTGCCATCAAGAATGAGTTCAATAATGCTTCAAATGTTAATGTTATCTTTAACAAGAAGTTTGTGAAAGAATCTAAGTTTGGTCAGTATGTCAGACCATTAGCTATCGTCATTGACCGCAAACGTTATACTTCACAAGAGTTAGCAGTAGTTTTGAAACAAAAGAGTTTCTTCGTGAATGTCAAAGATACTCATTATACTGTCATAAAGAACTCTAACATTGACTTCTTCAGTATTGCTATGAATCTTTCCGAACAGAAGAATATAAGAAGGGTGAAACAAATGTGAAATATTATCCTTCATCTCTGAAGACAATAACGAACAAAGATGTTATACAGAAATTCTTACCAAAAGTTGAAGAAGCTTCTATTGACATTGACGAAGAAAGTGAAATGGTTGAAGAAATAGACCCTGAAGCTATTTAAGCAAAAATATATTTTTGGTTAGTCTTCATATGGATATTTTACAACAATTCCCCAATGTATAAACTTTTCATACGCTTTTTCATAAGCTTTATATACCTTCAGAAATTTTGCATAATCTTTAGAAGCATTTAGATATTGTTTAAATGCTTTGTATGTCTTCAGAAATTTTTGTATAATCTTTTACATGTTGTTCGTTCTCTTCTCTGTCATGAGTTCCGAATATTCTAAATTCATGTTCTTTCATATGAGATAAAATTTTATAAAAAAATAAATTAGCTTAGATTTTTTTATTCTTCCTCTTGAAGTTGTCGAAATATTCTGTTCTTTTCCTTCAGTAGCGGTAAGTCTTCTTTGAAGGTAAGTATTGTACAACCTTTCATATCATAGTGTGTTTGAGGAAGAGTATTTTTGACAATTTCTTTTATTTGCTCATTCGGTGTCATTGAAATCGGTAAGTTTTCACGATAGAACCAGTTTCTGTCAGATTTGTAAATCTTAGCAAGGTCGTAAAAGCTTTTGTTGTTTCTTCTGACTAAATGCAACATAACCATATCTCTATCTTCTTCTTTCTCCAACTCTTCAGTATATATCATATACTTATAACTCTTTTCCTTTCCTTTTGGTACTGAACGTGGTATTCTTTTCTGTATGCTTTTGTCTTTGGATTCAATGACTTCATCTTTTGCTTGAAGTTTCTTTTCCATCTCTCCACGTTCTGCTTTATATAGTTCATCTAACATCATGAAAATATAACAAGCATAACGAGGTGAAGCCCACATTGCTACAGCATTTACTAAAAGTCTATGAACATAATAACCTTTCAAACCAGGAGCCAAATTCTTTCGATTTTCGAATGGAATCTCTTCCCTCGGTTTTCCGAGGGAAGCAATCATATGAGGAAATTCTTCTAAAAGTTCTCTTGCCTGTTGGTTTTCAAACCAATGATATGCTTGCTTTGTAGAACTAAGAGCATTCATTATACTTTGCATTTGGTACATGTCATCTTTGACCGAACGAATGAGGCGAAGTTGTTTGTTATATTGTATGTATTCGTATTCTTCATTTATGGCTTCATGAACGATAGCAGTTGTTGTGTTCTCTGATGTTGACATTACTGTTCTTACATACAAAATAAAAAAATAAATAAAAATAAAACTAACTTTATTTTCTGACTTTCACAAAAGACCAAAAATAAACGCTTTACATGTATTTTTCAGCAACTTCGTCAAATAATTTTATAGCTTTATCTATCTCATCTACTTCAAACGTTTCTTTACCTTTTATGGGAGCACCATACATTTTCTCAAAAACTTCAAGCAGTTCTGTTTCAGCAGCTCTCATATCATTAACAAACACAACCTTGACTATATTGACTGTACTGTCATATCTTTGAGTTATATTATATGTTCTTCCTATCTTATATCTTTTTGTATTGAAGTCCTTCGGTTTCTGAACGATATAAAGTAAGCCTTCACTGCAACGTTCCGTATCGAATGAACCATAAGTTATGAGGTTATATCCAACAACTGGGTCAATCCATAACAAAACTATTGGTATAAGACTTTTGTCGATGAGATATGCTGTAGTTCCATAGAATCTTACTGATATCATAAGCTCAGGATTTCTTGTCAAAATTTTCTGAGTTGAAGCATTTCTAACCCAGTCGTGTGTTTTCTTTCCAGATGGAAATATAATGTCTGACAAAGAATATTTGTTGTATTTCTTTGAGTATCTTACGTTTAAATCACCTATTCTAACCACTTTGGTGTCATTGTCTATCTTTTTAACTGTTTCAAACTCAATGTTTGACATTTCTGTTCTTACATACAAAATAAAAAAAATAAATAAAAATAAAACTAACTTTATTTTTTCTGTCTTAAGGAAATTCATGATTTTTGGTCATTTTTCAATAAAAATATATTTTAGGTGAAGAGGTTAGATCTCACCTGTTTTCTCACCTGTTTTCTCACCTGTTTTCTAACATGGTCTAAAACACACAAAACTCATGATTTTTGGTCATTTTTCAATAAAAATATATTTTAGGGTAGAAGGTTAGATCTAACCTGTTTTCTAACCTCTTTTCTACCCCAGTTATTTTATAAGCGTTTTACATGGTAAACGTTATTTTTGGAATTTTGTGAAAACTCAACGGTTTGACACATGCCCTAAAAATTATTTTACTCAGAATTTTGTTGCTGAATTCAATAAAAATATATTTTAGGGTAGAAGGTTAGATCTAACCTGTTTTCTAACCTGTTTTCTACCCCAGTTATTTTATAAGCGTTTTACATGGTAAACGTTATGAATTCGTGAGACTCTAAACAGTTTTGTAGCTTCTATTTCTTCGCTGAGGATATCGAATGTTTTAACTATGCCAAAAGTCTCTTTATACTTCTTCTTGACGTCAGATAGAAGGAAATCGTCAGCTGTTGGATAGTTTTTGTTCAGAAATTCTAACATGTCCATTTTATTTTCTACCGGCTTCTCTGCTTCTTTCTTTAAGTCTGCATAGTCGTTTCTCATACGTTCTATCTCTTTGACGGAGTAGTTATATTTCCTAATTGCTGCTTTACATTTTGAACATTGCGGGTTCATTTTTGCGTTATATTCTGAAACCTTACCTGCTAAAACAACTAAAGCGTCAATTGCTCTCTTCATCTCAAACATAGCGGGTCTTATTTGTTTATTCCATACTTTACCTCTTCTATCTTTATCTCTTATCTGCCATACACATTCAGCAACTAACGAAACAAAGTTGTCGTAGGTCTTAAATTCTTCAGATTTATATATGTCAGAAATATTTTTATAAACCATGTCGCAATCTTTGTCCATAACTTTATGGTTGCAATGAAATCCTAGAAACTCATAGTTTACCTTTCGTATGAACTTCTTTATTTCTACTGAGTCAGTTGGTTTCACTTCAATTTCGTCGAATTCAGGAATAGTGAGTTTTTGTTGTTGGATTTCAGGTAGTTTAGGCAAATGGTCAATAATGTCCTGCATTTCATAAAGATATTCTTCATTTGTTTCATCTTTCGCACTACAGTCTAAATTACTTGTTAAAAGTTCTTGCTTTATCTTCTGGATTTCTGTTTCAAAAGTATATGAAGAAGGAATGAAGCTTTTCATTTCTACTAACATTGACGTAGGATTCATAACTAACGAGTTTGGTGCTGTTGTTGTTTGAAGTGTTGTAGAACCTATTGTTGAAATCATATCTTTTATACAAAATAAAAAAAAATAAAAAAATAAAACTAACTTTATTTTTTTATCTTAAGGAAATTCATGAAAATTCAAGAGGGTAGAAATGAGGTTAGATCTAACCATCTACCCGACATTCTCGTCAAATACAAAAAAATGACACTTTTTCATTAGATAACTGTTATTTTTTGACGAAGTGAAGGTTGACACTTCGTCAAAAAAATCCCTGAAATCATATCTTTTATACAAAATAAATGAAATAAAACTAACTTTATTTTTTCTATCTTAAGGAAATTCATGAAAATTCACGAGGGTAGAAAACAGGTTAGAAAACAGGTTAGATCTAACCTTCTACCCTAAATTATATTTTTGGGTCCTTTACACTCATTACGAAGAAGTCTTGACAAAACATTTACGAAGAAGTCTTGACAAAACATTTACGAAGAAGTCTTGACAAAACATTTACGAAGAAGTCATGAAAATTCACGAGGGTAGAAATGAGGGTAGAAAACAGGTTAGATCTAACCTCTTCACCTAAAATATATTTTGGGTGTAAATTTCATTGACTGACTGACTGACTGACGGCACAAAGTGGCTTAGCGAAAACATTAATATATAAAATTCATGAAAATTCATGAAAATTCAAGAGGTGAAAAAAGAGGTGAGATCTCACCACTTCACCTAAATTATATTTTTGGTACCATTAATAATACATGACTGTTCTCATTCATGTCTGATTTACATCTAATGAAAAAGTTTAGAAGAATTTTCTTATTCTTTCTGGCATATTTTTGTCTTTCCAGTACTCCCGCTCTAATGGTCCCAGATGTGTTGGCTTTGACTCTCTCAAGTTCTTAGATGGTATAACATCTTCAACGCCTCCTTCATATCTTACTTTATAAGTGTCATCGTTTATGTTGTAGTCAAGTATTTCAATAACCACTCCTCGCTTTGCTTCGTCAATGGTTTCAGCAAGTTTGCCATTACTACTTTCGACTAATTTATGACGAGGATAAAACGCTATGGAGTCGTCAGCAGCTTTTATAAGATATCCATTACCTTGCGTAGAGTCTACGATATAATAATTTCGACTTAACCTTAAACGTTTCTTTGTCAACGGTTTGTCGTCAAGAACTACACGAACTTTTGTACCAGGAATGAGGGTAAATTGTGTTGAATTTCTGATATTTTGTGTTTGGCTTCGTTTCTTTTGTATATACTTTTCTTCTTGTTGTTGTGTCATTGAATTTGGTGTATGTCCTGTTGTAGAATGTGTTGAGGAATTATATACTTCGAGAAAATGTTTCAT